TATAACTTATTATGTACTGTATATACAGTTATACATAAGTATAGTATTTGTTTTGGTTCATTATATATACTTTACAGTGTATTTACAAATGAGTTTTTCAATTTAATTAATTTGTTTGCTTAAAATTTATTTTCATTATATAATTTGTTGCCTAATATTCTTATGCAGATTTTTTCTATGAGCCGTTTATTTTATTTCAATTTTAATTCCTCTATTTGTTTTGTAGATTTTATATTTCACTAATAATTTTGTCATTAATTTAAAGAAGTTTAAGGGAAGGGAGGAAAGGGAGGAGAGAGAGAGAGAGAGAGAGAGAGAGAGAGATTGAAAAACTGATTCCTAATTCTTTGCATTGATTTATAGTTTTAAAAATAAATCTTTTTCTCTCATAAACCTAAAGAATAGACGAAACAGTTTCGTACAGTACTTCTCATCGCATTGTACAGTGAAGTGTGGTTTTTGGAAATATATTTAATGTGTCTTTAGTATCGGGGTATTTATTTGTGAACAACTTTTCTGTTTGTGTGGTACAATACTGTATATTATCCGTGTGTTTAACAATTTCAAAATATATAGAAATTTATAATAAAATTTGATTTTTTTCGTGTGTATTGAAACAATTGATGAGATTTAATAACAATAAATACCAGAAATATATTGTATATTATATATAGAGATAGAAAGACAGAGAGTTTGTGTCAGTGTTTGAGAAAAAACCAAACCTTTTGGTGTGAAACGCCTTTTATCCGTACGTTTTGTAATGGCTTTTAATGCATAATTTAAAACACTTGTCATTTGAAAAGGGAGGGGAACTATATCTTATAGATTCCGTGTGTATGTGGTTCAGTGTGTTATGTGGTGTATATTTGTTTTGCTTTATGTGTATTTTTTGCAGTCAATTGTCTTAAGTATCATAATATTTATAATTTAAAGTCATATATCGATTCCCTGTCTGTTAACAATCCGATTACACCAGTAGTGGAGGCACTCATGAGATTAAGTTTATTAGTGTTTTGTGTTTTGCAAACAATGTTTTCGTAACAATTCATTAGACGTTAACGAATTGTGTCGACAAAAAGCACAGAATATTCCTAAAACACAGAGTCTATGAGAGGTTTAGTGGTGTCTAAACGATCTGGTATTCAGTTAACTATACACCGAATGCACAGAATATAACAGAATATTCTGTGTATCCAAATAGAGTTTAATGTATCGGGTTTTATGGTAGTGGATACTAGTTTTAAAAAGGTTGTGCACCAAAAATCATTCATACGATTAGTTTGTTATCAGTTTGTGTTTTATTTGGTAATTAGTTTTTTATATTTAATATATTTCTCTGTGTTTTGCGTGTATTTGTCGCCGTATTTCACAAAAATCAAGTAAAATCTCAATTCAAGTCATATAATGGGCACAAGAGTTTCAAAATACGAGAGCGAATAGACATTTAATTTCATTTTTAAAACGCTATATAATATCACTTTTTATTTGTTTAATTAATAGTCTTGTTTGTAATGAAGTGATTATAATTCACTCGTTATTTTGTTTTATATCCATTCGCTCTCGTATTCACTAAAATCTAATAATAAATCTTTTTCATCATTATTATCATCATTAATATCTCTGAATTTGATTTCTCAAAAAATATGTCACAAAATGTAAAGACAATTATAATTATTTAGTAAACGATTAGAAAAAAAGAGATTCAAAAAAGAGAGAGGATTTGTGTGAAGAAGAGTTGTTTTTTTGGTTGCTTTTCATTTTGTCATCATTTCTCACAGTATAATAAAATTGGAGTAAAATTGAGGGCAATATTTGGTCGCAAAATATATATATATCGCGTTATATATGTGTATATAA